CCCCAAAACCCCAAAACCCCAAAACCCCAAAACCCCAAATTATTATTGGAAGATTGAAATTAGGTAGAATGATGTAATATGAATGCCACGCTGGCAAATTTCATAACTAACCTTCTCTATTTTGTTGGATCAACTTCAGTTAGCATTTTCTTTGGCACACAAGAATCATTTTCTGTCATTTTGCTTGGTAATCCTTGGATGTTGATGTCTGGTTCATTGTCTCCGAGACTACTATTAGTTAGAGAATCGAACTCCATGTCTGAACAAGATTCATAAAGATTGTGACTCCGGTTGTGTGTTGATTTGATCAGCTCATTTTCTGCTTGCATAAGACTGATTCAAACATCACACTTTGCACAACAACACTCATTCTTAAATTTCTTGAGTCTCACGAGTTCTGTGACTAGTTGCTGATCTTTCGTCACAAAGTGCTGAGTCGATATATTTAAGGGTTTATTGGTAAATTTTATCAGTCGACAAATCAGCAAGATCCCAATTGTGCAAATTAACACCACAGCTTCGACTGAAACCATGAGCAGGCTGAGCCAAGCCAATGGAGCCGTCTCTAAACATTGTACAGGAGTCTTCACAAAGCTGCTAATTATTTTGTAATGGCATCCTAAAGTATGAATATGAATTGGTACTTACCCATAGTGCACAAATGGAACACCCACGAAGTCACGTCGATGGTGGCCAGAGCAAGAGTCTTGTCTCGTATCAGCTTGTTTCTGAGGCTGTAGTGCAAGATCGTGGCCAACTTGAGCAGCACCGACATTTTGACACCTTTTAGAGCATTTGGGCTACCCTGTTGCGTTCCAGTCAACCACAAGCTAATGCAAATGATTCACAGAGAAAACACATAATAGACTAAGCAGTAGTTGTTTCTTTGGATCGCTTTATCTGAGAGAGCATGATCTCTTTCGTCATTAGAGTCTTTCTTGATGTTTGGGTTTGTGGTTACGCCCTGAGAGCCAGAATATAGCATAAAAATGTAAAATTCAATGATAAATCACGATACTGGGGTTTTGGGGTTTTGGGGTTTTGGGGTTTTGGG